ATCTGAAGGTATACATTGTCCCCAAATGTGAAATAGTTATGGGTAAGGACAAAGTCACAAAGTTCAGCCACCAGGTTAGCCGTGACATTATCGGGGATAGTGTTCCTGACGGCCTGTAGTCCATCTTTGTGTGGAATGTTGGTGTAGAGGGCTTCTACATCCATAGTAGCCAGGATGGTGTTATCAGGAAGATCACCGATGGATTGAAGTTTCCTCAGGAAGTCAGTGGTGTCTCGAAGGTAGCTGGGAGTGCTGGTAGCGTAGGGCCTGAGGAGGGAGTCTACATAGCCAGACAATCCTGCTGTCAGGGTGCCAATGCCTGAGATGATGGGGCGCCCAGGATTTCCAGGTTTATGGATCTTGGGTTACAGAATATCCCAGGTCGGGGTTCCAGGGGTGTGTCTGTGCGGATTTGATCTTGTGCTTTTTCAGGAAGTTTCTTGAGCAAATGCTGTAGTTGCTTTTGGTAACTCTCAGTGGGATCATAGGGTAATGGCTTGTAGAAACTCGTGTTGGAGAGCTGCCGAGCAGCCTCTTGTTCATATTCCGACCTATTCATGATGACAACAGCACCTCCTTTGTCAGCCTTTTTGATTATGATGTCAGAGTTGTTTCTGAGGCTGTGGATGGCATTGCGTTCCACATGGCTGAGGTTATGGGGCAAGTGATGCTGCTTTTCCACAATTTCAGCCCGTGCACGTCGGCGGAAGCACTCTATGTAGAAGTCCAATCTGCTGTTTCGACCTTCAGGAGGAGTCCATCTAGAATCCCTCTTTCTGTAGTGTTGGCAGGGAGACCTCTGTGGATTAGTATGTTGTTCAGAGGTATTTTGGAAATATTCCTTGAGACGGAGACGTCGAAAATAGGATTCTAGGTCACAGTAAGAGAAGGCCCTTACACTGGCAGACAGTGGTTTTGATTCTTTCTTTTATACCTCTAGAACTAGCCAAGCGATAAGAATACACTTAAATTCTTAGAGTATAGGCCTTTACAGACAGGCCTGAATATCTATATCCTAACAAGCAGTACTAATATTAGGGAGTCATATAATTTAGCAGTTTGTGTGAGAATCTGATCAAAAACCTATCAATGATCATAAATCCCAAAAATGAAGCAGAGAGGTAAAGTGACATACCTATAGCTACACAGTGGCAGAGTTGGGAATTAAACATCTCTTTCTTCATTTCCAGCCCAAGGACCAATCTGCTGTACCTTCAGCATGTAATAAGCTAAAGAATTCCCATATCTGTACTAGCAGAAAGGAACTGCAGTCCTGATACATGTAGAAATCCCTGAAAGCTAGAATTGATCAAATTATGAATTGTGACTACATTATTCAACAAAGGTAGCCTATATTTCTGTTCCTGAATAGTTTGCAGACCCATCCTAAAATTACACATATTCCTGATTAACATGGACTCACAGAGTGGTTCATGCTAACAATTTTTTCCTTGTCTCATTTGGAAACTATTGACTTCAACTGTTTGATATTTGTTATTTGTGATATGTGATTAGTCACTTAAATCATATGATATTGTTTCAAATTCCTAACTGCAAGCTTGAAACATTTTTAACACTGAAGAATAGCAAATATCACATCTAATAGTGCTACAGTTTATAAAACTGGAGTTTGTGAACATTTCCATTAATAAACCATCAGTCAACAGAATACTTCTGGATATGTAACCCATTGTTCAGTGTATATCACACATCGTTCTCACACGGGCTATGAGTGTGTCACAGTGGTCAGCTAGGAAACTTAGTACTTTATCTCAAGCTGTAGCAACACATACCCTCAGCTCTGGAGATCTTGGTTCAGTCCCTAATGATGACTGATATGCTGTATTATTACAATCATATATAATATGACCCAAAAATATATCCATTAATCATTTTTTTTTGTCATATTTGGCATGACTACTGGGAGCAATGCTGCACCTGTTCCTAATCCACATTGGTTTCACTTCTCCCAGAGTCATTCTTTATTTTTGACTGGCACCCTTCAGTCTGGAAACAGTCTGCTAATTACTGTCATTATAATTCTTGACCCTATTAGCAATGCCAAAATGGAACCACTGCACTTTACAAGCTATGGCATATGGTTATAATATTACTGCATGTAATCAAACACATTTGCTGCTGTGTGATGCCATGGATACCCCATCTCTCTTTTATATTTGCACTTGGTGAGATATTTCATTTTATTTATTTAACTAAGAACAGGCTCTTTGAGAGACAAATAACATTTGCACTGGTACCTGGCAAGTTAGCCTTTCACGAGTTAACTGGAAAATATACCCAGCACAAGTACTGCCGGTAAGTTGCAGTTCTTTTCAGAGGTCTGCTCCAAACAGGAGACTTAATGAGCTACAGGGAGGGGAAGAACAAGGATTATCTAAAAACTGGATACAAATCTTTTGTATTTAAATATAATGGGAGTGGAATACTCCATCTTTGAGAACACAGCAGATTTTATTTACATGTGGTTTGCTGCAAACAGGAATTGGCTTCCTCAAAGTTTAATGCAAGATGAAGAGTCTTTGGGTACGTCTAATCTATAATTAAACACCTGCGGCTGGCCTATGTCAGCTGACTGGGGGTTGCGGGGCTCAAACTACAGGGCTGTTTAATTGCAGTGTAGACTTTTGGTCTTGGGCTGGAGCCTCAGCTCTGGAACCCTTCCCCAAACCCAAACATCTACACCTCAATTAAACAACCTCATACCCAAAGTCCCACGAGCTCAAGTCAGCTGACACAGGCCAGTTGTGGGTGTTTAATTGCTGTGTAAACATACCCTTAACACGTAAATCTATTGAAACACATTGATGGGAACCCAGGCAAGGAAATTAAGTTATGACTCCCTCTGTATCTAGGCATTGCAGTATATGTGCCACTCTGAATATGCAGCTCCAGCACGTAGGCCCAACATGGAATGGCTTTAACACAGCACTTACTGACAGTCGGAATGTTCTGTTAATACAGTCTTGTTGATTCTTTAACTGGAGTAAAATGTTTCCATTGTAAAAACAATCATATCACACGTCCGGTAAGACTATTGTTACATGAGAAAGTATCCTATGAGTCATGACTAGGCCGAATTATAGCTCTGGATCTCCAGGGAGCAACAGACTGCTCCCTTCGTTTTCGACATGGGGGAAATCAGTGCCCCAAAGTGGGTGAGGAAGAGGCAGGGCCTGTGCACTGGCACAAACAAGGCCAGAAAACTAAATTACTGACAAAAATTCCCCTCATGGTTTTGATTTCAGTGCTGTGACTGAAATGAGGAAGTCCATAGTTCTCTGGTTTGGAAACTGAATGGCAAAGTTCAACTCCAAATCTTTCCGATCAACATTTCTTGCTATGCATAAACATAAAATAGCTGCAAAACAAAACGAAGACATAGTCTATAACAAGAGCTAATGAGCGTGGTCACCCTCCAGCTACACATGGGAGAGTGAAACTGCATGGAGAAACACCATTTTATCCTCTTGAAATTAGATCAGATAGTTACAGTAAGTCTTTCCCAATAGCTTTACCCTACTCACCTGTTAAATAATAAAACCAGATGTTCAGTCTCTTGACCCGAGACAACTATAAATAATTTTCTCCCTATTTCACGGTGTGTCCAAAACACTTGAACTACTGATTTTCTCTGAATTGTAGATTATAAAGTGCTTGTCAAACTCCCTGTTACGTATGTACCCCAGACTAAGGCAAACTTCTGCCCTGGGCACCGCTGGGTGTCATACAGACAGCATTGTGACTCCAACTCGCAGGGTGCATACTGCCCGAGTCAGCCAAAGCTCCTCCTGAGCTTCCCTGGGAGCACACACCAGAGGGGTAGCTCTAGTAGCCTTAGAGAGACTGCAGTGGGCTCACTGCTCTGTGCCCATCTAGTCTGTTAGCCAGGACACAGGAGTATGAGACAGCTAGTGCCAAAGGGGATGCTCGTAAGGTTCAGGGACCAAGCTCCCTGATGAGATCTTTGCAAGGCCCCTTATCTATGCAGGGCTTAGCCTGAATCTGGCTCTGCATTTCAGAGTTGTGCTTCCTGCTTCAGGAAATGATTCTGCAATCATTATTGAGTAAGTGGCCGATAGAAGACAAATTTTAGAAAAAAGAAGCCCTGCAGGATGGGAATGACAAGACTCCCATTGACTTCAGTGGGGACAGGATATCCCCCCCCCCCAGTATGTTTAGGAGAGAACTTTTTAGTGGCTGTCAAATTCTGGTCTTGATTTGCAGACACAATGATTTAATAGTATGTTATTGTCTAATAATTACTGTATACTACCATGAAGACAATGATAAAAACACAAACAGTTCTATGTTCATTTTAATTAAAGTATCTCTGTTTAGAAAGTGGTAGTAACCCAGGAAGGGAAAGAGAACGTGGTCTTACAGAGTTGATGTATCTGAGTCTTGTACATAGTGCTTAGATACTATGGTGATGGGCACATAAAAAGTGTATATTTTATAATTACAATTTATACAGGAAGAAGGGTTTTGCGGTTAATGCACAGGATTTGAACTAAGAAAAACTGGTTTCTAGTCCCAACTCCACTATTGATTTCCTGTGTAACTTTGATCAAATAATCTATTCCCTCTGGGGCTCCATCTCCCTGTGCATAGGACAGGACTATTTACATACTTCCTCGTGGAGCTGTGAGGCTAAATTCAAAAATACTTGTAAGATGCACTTTTTTTCGCATTTGGTGCTGTTTGCCATAACGTTCATAGTGGCCTCCACCTAGTTACCGGTACCATACATGTTTTGGAATGGTTTCTGCATATAATTATTGTACCAAGTTGCCATTTCAGGTATGTCTTTGAAAAACATTGTATTACCTAGTTCACAATAATTCAAGAGTTACCTGTTTGCAAGGCTTGCGGGCCACAAATCATGTCTGGAGACACTACTTCAGCGAAGATTCAATAACATGTTATATATAGTGAAGGACTAGCTATGAAGGCTATGAATCTGTTCTTCTTTGGCACAGGACTGGAGAAGCTTGCCCAGAAAGGAAAATCTTTGTCACCTCTAGCAGTAATAACAGGAATTTCATTATTTTTGATCCTATCTATGTCCCTTCTATTCTTATGGAAAAGATATCAGCCACATAAAGGTGGGTAAAACTTAAACACACTCCAGATGCATTTTCTGGACATCATAACAAAAAGGTTGATTTTCCTTTATCTCTTTTTTCAGTTTTACAACGGAAGCTGCAGAGCAGGTAATAAAATAAATCATTACTATGGCTTTGTGTCTTTCCCAAAAAAGGAGAGGGTTTTTTTTTTTTGGTTTCGGGCTATATTTCTTTTCTTTGCCCGTGAGATCAAACTGAAAGTCATGTTTATGTTTTCTAGGCCTGGAGCAGATTACAGAAAGGCACAGACATTCTCAGGTAATGTTAAAGAATGAAACAGGAGCACAAGGCCAAATCCAAGCCCCCTAGCCCCTGCTGAACAGGGCTGGGCCTCTTCATAGTGCCATGGGGGAAAGTACTGGATCATGCCAGTGGTCAGATACTTTGGTGCTGAGCATGATATAAATACGGAGATAGACTAGTTAAATTAGATTGAATCTTCCTTCCATAGGCCATGGAGCAGCAATAGAGGTGCTTCACTAGCTACATGGGTATTCCCCAGCATAGGGAAATTGCTCCTCGTAGACCAGTGTAGGGAGAATGTGAAAGGGGGCTTAGTGAAGGGGGATGGCCAGAGCATTACTGCTCTCCAGTTATCTTCAACGGTGTAATGGCCCCCCTTGGGTGCAGCCAAGCATAGTTTAAACATCAGTGTGGCGGCTCTACGTTTTGAGAACTGAGCCAGCCCTAGCGGTGGGGTGGAACAGTAGAAGACAGAAGCAGAACTTTCAAAGTCTCCGAATCCAGGGGGGTTCAAAATTAGGCCGAATGCCCATCCATAATGAAATGTTCCTGTTTGCATTTATGTTACCTATTAATAATTTCTTTTTTTAATTTTAGGGCATGAAAATGCTATGGATGACTTTGGAATATATGAATTTATTGCTTTTCCAGACCCCACTGGTGTTGCTACGGTATGTGTTTTACCAGTAAATCAGTAGCCAACCAATTAAGGCTCTATTTCATTCACTAAAATGTATGTAGTATTTACACTAGAATCTCTATGCGACTTGCTCAAAAGGGCCACATGAGATGCCTCTTTGGAGGTATTTCAATGACTTATTCATCAGCACTGTTACTCACTCTGTTTATTTACATCAATGTCAAGCAGCAGAGACATGCCCAGGTTCAAAGCGGTGCAAAGAAGTTAGTTCTGTTAAGCAATCCTGCATTTAGGCTACATCTAAACTACAGCAGTCACAGCTGCACTGTTGCAACTGCACCACTGTAGCACTTGTGGTGGAGATGCACTAAGCCAACAGGAGAGAGCTCTCCCATCAGCTTACTATAGCTATCACCCATTGCAGAGGCAGAAGTTGTCAGTGGGAGAAGCTCTCCCGTGACATAGTGTTGTCTACACCAGGGCTTAGGTCAATGAAACTTACATCGCTCAGGGATGTGGATTATTCACATCCCTGAGTGACGTAAGTTATACCAAAGTAACTGTAGTGTAGACAAGGAAAACAATTTTTAACATCAAGTGTCTAGATAACAGTAGGCCACTCCAAGGGTGAAAGCGTTAAAGAAGGAAGAAGAGCATCTGTGAGTGTTCATGAAGATAGGAGGGACGTCAGGACTAGGGTGGGAGTCAGGGGTTTAAGACCCACTTCAGCAAGGTTCTTAACACACAAGTAGACCCATTGATTTCACTAGGGCTAGTCATGTCTCATAGTCAGACACGTGTTTAAATACCTTACAGAGTCAGGGCCTTGGAGAGTGAAGGAGGAGAGACTGTACACCGGAGAATTAGAATTAGAGGCAGTGGGCTGGACTCTGGAACTGGAGCAACTCCACTACCTTCAGTGCAGTCACTCTGGATTTACACCAGTGTGGCTGAGATCAGTATTTAACCCACTGCAGTCATATTGCTCAGTAGGAAAGGGACACAGAGGTGAAAGATGAATCGTTAAGAATTGGAGTTTGGGAGTATGCAGATTGAGTAAACTCTGTATTGATGAGGGCTGAATCTAGACGTTGTAGACTGCACACTGCCCTTTCTTAGCTTTTTTTTTTATGTATCCTGAATCATCTCACTGACTACTTTTGTCCTTTGTCCCCAGCTTTTAATTCACCAGCTTATTTCTCCCTTTATTATTTGTGGTACAGTAATGTAAAGCACTTTTTACCCTACATGCAATAGGGGCATCCTAAAATTTCTGGGTTTCTAACTGCATTTAAGTCTGTGAAATGCCATATCGTAAGTATGATAAAATTCCCTTCCTCAACAATCAAACTGAAACTAATTAAATTGAGCTATGCAATATGAACAAAATCAGTGGAGAACATCTCTCCTAAAAAAAGGTGGGGGGGGAAGGGAGGGAAGGTTATTCTGTACGTTTCGTTCCTGCGCCAGCTTTTCCCGTCTGTACTCATAGCAAAAATATTGCCTGTTACTTTTAGGTTCCAAGTCCATCTGTTTCTGGCTCTGACTTTGTCCAAGGGCAGGATTTACACAGTACAGTTTATGAAGTTATTCAGCATATTCCAGAGCAACAGGAAGATCATCAAGAGTAAGTCCCTATATGCACTAATATGGTAACTCAAAGACTTAGAGACAAATCCAGAAGTGATTGGTAAGACTGTGTAAATTACATGTTGGTAAATGAGTGAGCGTCAGAGGGAGCGCAAGAGAATCTAAGGGTATGGCTACACTACAAAATTAAGTCAACCTAAGCTATGTTTTTGTACAGCCATTGCAGTAATTAAATTGTTTTTGCAGGTCCACACTACATTCCTTGTGTCAGCGGTGTGTCCTCGCCAGAAGCACTTGCACCAATTTAACTGTCAGTGTGGGGCATTGTGGAACGGCTTCTGAAAGGCAGCAGCAGTCAGTGTAAACAATGCAGTGTCTACAGTGACACTGCGTTGACCTAACTACATCAACTTATGCGCTGCGCCTCTCACGGAGGTTGAGTTATTAAGTTGGTTCAGTGGGCGAGTTACATCACTGGGAGCTACCTTTTAGAGGATGCTTACAGAGTTAGGTCGATGTAAGCTGCCTTGTATAGACCTGACTCTGTAGCCCAGTGCTAAGTTGGCATGATGTGCACCATAAGGGATGTGAGGGAAGAAGGTGTAAGTTACATTGACGGTCCCTGCATACTCCCTCAGAGGCTCTTCTCAAAATTTGCCCCGTAGTCTCACCACACTTGCTTATCTGTGGAAAACTGGGTCCAAGATTTTCAAGCACAGAAATTTAAATGAAGGCTCCTAAATCCATAGTGAGGCACATACATGAGCGGCCACATTTTCACACCTGCTGAGCACCCAGCAATAACCATTGAGATCAAATCATTCTCAATTTAATCCTTGGCTTCTCTTTCAGGCCTGTCAACAAGTATACCAATTGCAGGGGTGGGTTTTGCAATGTAGAAATTGGTCCACTAAGAACCCTGCCAACTTAATAAACTATTCATTGGTCATTGCACAGCCACAAGATGATGACAGCATTTGGTTCCCAGTACCCTGGGCTGGATTTAAACCAATGATTTAGACGCATAATTGTTCTGTATTCTATTAGCCCAAGCCATGCAGTACACTGGATTGGAAATCTCTAACAAGTTTTGCTGAGCTGAACGCTGGGCAGGTGACACCACCTTTTCGTTTACACAGCCAATGTCAAGGTTGTCTTGTTTTCTGTCAAAGCACCTACTTCCATAAAACTTCTTGAAATACTAGAGTGCAAAAGAATTCTGTGCACTTTAAGTGATTACAGATACAGCTGCCTTAAATCACTTTCTGTGAATATCTATATTCTTTCTTATTCAACATATATTTGCTCTGCACAGTATATTAACAACAGCACACAATAACTTCTTGGGTAACAACAGAAGTTACAGCCCCATTATGTTATATTTTTATCCTACTATTGTGTATTCAGTTATGGTTGAAAGGAAGCAACCATAAATCTATTAATTGATTTTGTGACCTCAGTGTCTGTGACTATATTAGCATAGAGTGCTTATAAGATTCAGTCTTTAAGGGTCACATTTTCAAAAGTGCACACTTCGATTCTGCACTCAAACATGGAGCAGTGTGTGCAAATGCAAAAAAAGGGGGGGGGGGAGTAATATTGAAATAACAGTTAACATTTGTTTGCCTAGAGCTATTCATTTTACATCTTAGGTACACATTTTTGAAAATGTAACTTAAATATGTAAAATACCAAATTAATTTGTGCATGTCCAGGATGACCAATGATCTTATCTTTCCCTTGCTATCCTTCCTCTTGCAGCCTCCTCGCATGTGCACACACACACACACACACACACACTCTAGCATGCCCCCTCCAAAAAAAGGAGAGTGAATTCCTGTTATAAGATGACATCGCCTAAACTTCATGGAAGTTTGTCTTTGAATCCAAGCATCACAGTTAAAACCCTTCTTTTAGTTATGAGGATAAATATGGACAACCACATTTTGATTGCTCTCTCTCATCGCTACAACAAGATTTAGAAAACAAAACTTCTCAAATAAGACAGCAGCACAGAAGGAAAATTTCCATTTTACAAAGCCAGAATTAATATACCCCGCAGAACTCATGTCCAGGCAGGTTAGTCAGGTTAGAAATGATACTGTTGGAAGCTTTCAAATTCCTAATCTGCAGCCAAGTGATCCATAAAGCCATGCATAAATCAGGGAAATGAGTCCCATGGTTGTCCTTACAACCAAATGCTTCAGTGATCAGTATAAGCAAGGGACTAAAACATCAGAACAGGAAAGGGCTTTGGAAAAGTAATTTCAGATTCCCATAGCTCAAATGATCAATTTAAGCAGTGATCGCCAGAACTGAATTCCACTGTACTGATGATCAGTCATATGCAGTCAGTTTTGTTCTTGTGGCATGACAGATGAAATGTCACTGAACTTACTTGGAGGGGGGAAGAAACTGCGCCAACCACTCAATTCGTGCAGGAATAACCCATTTCGATGTAATAGCCAAAGAGGTGAAATGAAAGGGACCCAAATGGGCTATTAAGTCAAAACGCTGTTTTACTCAGGCTACACCTTCACTACAGCAGTTACAGTAGTGCAGCTGCGCTGCTGCAGTGTTTGTTGTGGAGAGCCTCTAAGCAGACAGGAGAGATGATTCACAGCCCTGAGCAACTGAGTTATATCGAAGTAACGTGTAGTGTAGACAAAGTCTCAGATTCTGAATGGTTCTGGCCCAAGGTGCTTCTTGAAAGAAAAATGATTCGATATTCTTTATATAAATGTATTAAAGTTAATAAACAAGCAAAAAAAAAAGTCAAGAAAACATATCACTAGGACTCAACTACTACAAACTTTACCAAACTAAGGACTAATTAATACAATTATCAAACTGCAATCAAAGGCAAAGGCAATGAATTAATATAAAAATCAAATTAGTTAGCTCTTGCAATTGATACAGCACATAATCAATCCTTTCAAATCCTAAACAGGAATCCAAGAAGGTGGTGGCCCATTTGTGCATATCCCAACTAAAGAACTTTTAATCCTAGCAGTATAATTAGGTTTTCATGGTTAAATAACATAATTCTGAGACCCAAATACCTGGTTATGTCTGATTTACAATCTCAAAGCCAATCAAAGCCTTCTCCTTGGATTTTAAGATAATTTTCCTAGCCCGTTGCTTTGATCGTGCTACCCTGCTTTTTTCATCCCTCCACTGGCATCTTCTTTATCGCATCAAACGTAAGCTACTTGTCTTCATTTCCAAGGCCCTTCATGGCCTATCCCCATCTCTCATGCAGTAGTGAAGGTCAGCTCCTACCTCACATCAGCTCATGATCCCAGCCTCCATCTCCCATTTGTTAAATATTCAAACAGGCACCTTCATGCTTTCACCCATGGTGCCCCTCACACTTGCATCTGCAAGCTACATCATTAGCTTCTTTCAATGTCCCCTTCAAACTCTCCTCTGCCATGAGGCATACAAAAACTTAACAGTGGTTAGACTGCTGGTGTGCTGAGACCACTGCCTATCATGCTGACCAATATAGTCTCATTGTTTCCTTGTACTCTCCTGTAGGTCCATCTGTATCAGTCTGTAGTCTCTGGTTTTATACTTAGTCTGTGAGTTCTTTGGGGCAGGGACTGTCTTTGTTTTGTGTCTGTACAGCACCTAGCACAAAGGGATCCTGATCCATGACTGGGGCTCCTTGGCACTATGACAATACAAATTGATAATAAATAATACAGTGGTGACTAAAGCTGTTCGTCTCGCCATGCCCAGCAGAAATCTCAGTGAAAACTTTATTCAAAAAGGAATAAAGTAAGTTCATGGAGGATAGGTCCATCAATGGCTATTAGCCAGGATGGGCAGGGATGGTGTCCCTAGCCTCTGTTTGTCAGAAGCTGGGAATGGGTGACAGGGGATGGATCACCTGTTCTGTTCATTCCCTCTGGGGCACCTGGCATTGGCCACTGTCAGAAGACAGGATACTGGGCTAGATGGAGCTTTGGTCTGACCCAGTATGACCATTCTTATGACAAAACTGTCTGATAAGCAAAAATTTAACACTCTTGCCCAATAATTTGCATATAAGAGTTTTACAATTTCTCAGGATTCCAGCACAGAACTCTTTTATAAGTAGCATTCAAGAGACAGCGATTAGTGTGATTTTAACCTGGGGAATATTTCTTTCTAGCATCTTCCCTTAGGGCGTTACAGGTGCTCGCACATGCATTCGCACACCCACATCCTAAAACCCTAAAAGTCTAGGAGTTCTCCCAGCTTCTTAAGCAAAAGAAACAGGTAAAACACTTTTTTTAAAAGGGCTCCGATTCATTAGCTCTCAGTCTTCGGACTCACGTTGTCATCAGAGCTTTTGCCATTGCAGGACCAGGCAAGGTAATAGATGGATCAGCACTGTTATGCACTGCCAGAAGCTGGGACTGGACAACGGGATGAATCACTAGAAATTGCCCTGTTCTGTTCATTCCGTCTGAAGCATCTGATATTGGCCATTGTCAGAAGACAGGATACTGCACTAGGTGGACCATTGCTCTGACCCAGTATGGCCATTCTTATGCAAGCAAGGTTTCACAAATGGTGAGACTTCAGGCTGGTGTAGCCCATAGCAATAGTCTTCACCTCTTCCTTCTATAGGTGACCAGCCTGGGAAAGCAGGAGGGTTAGCTTCTTCAAGTGTCTTTGCTGGTCCAAAAAAACATAAGGCCTTCTGTTTTGATAGAGATAGCTTCCCGATGAGGGCATTATGGTATGATTGTACGCTTATGTACAGGGTAATGTCTAGGAACTTGGAGTACATCTACGCATGGAGCTGGGCATGCGATTCCCAGCTCAAGGAGACATACCAGTGCTAGCTGTCATCAAGCCAGTGCACTAAAAATAGAATGTAGCCATGGCAGGGTGACCAGCAGGATGGCCTAGCCACTCAAGTACGTATCAAGGATCTCAGATGGGCACGCGAGGTGATTAGCCTGTCCTGCAGCTTGCGCTGCCATGGCTACATTCTATTTTTAGTGCATGAGACCTTGCACAAGTATTTTCTCCTCAAGCCAGGAATCACACCCCCAGCTCCAAGCGTAAACATACCCTACAAGGCTTTGACTTGAAGAAACTGCTTGATGAGAGAGGACAGTACATATGGAGAAAGGAATAAAGCGTGAATGTTGCACTCTCTTGGCTCTCTCTCTTTTCATGCTTGAACACTGACCACCTTCTGTCTTGACCTTCATTCGCTTCACCTTACAAACCTCCCTTTGATGTCTTCAAGCAAAGCCAGGTGTGAAGAACGACTGGGGCTCCAACCATCTCGGCCAATCAAGTTGAAAAGATGCAATCTTTAAGTTAACAATAGTCTGGAAAATTCCAGATAAAAGTGGCCATTTCCTCAAGATATTAGGCATTGCACATCACATACATTGCAGAACCCCAAAAAGAATCAAAATAAAAACATGAGAACCATTTTGAGGAAGTTGCTCTCACCCACCCCCCTTGGGTAAACAACCACAGAACACAATCTGACATCAGTGGCTAGTGGAGGGCCTGAATGGGTCCATAAAAAGAATTGTCTAATAAAACCCAACCTTTCATCCAAACTGCTCATGCACCCTCGGTATTGCTTAGAGTGAATCTGAATATCTATGACAAACTGTCACATCATTCTGCCACACACAAAACTGGGAAACTGGCAGTAACAGGCTAAAGTTAACAAAGCTTTCAACTGGTGAAGGTTCACACCTCATATCTCGTCTAAGTGGAGAAAGCTGTTATGACTTCCATAGAATCTTCATCTGAAATGAAGAAAAAACACACATTCATTCCAACTCGGTTTCTCATATACACTCTCTCTCTCTCTCACACACACCAGGCATTATTATGCCACAAATTTCTGCTGCGCTGACTGCCAAAGAGCAGTGGATATCTGTACATTTCCCAATCATTTCAACGCTAGGCTTGTGAGAGCCTGCACTGACTCAGCATGTCCCTACTAGTCATTAACAGTTGGTAGAGTACATTATTACTGATAATGAATGAACATGCTGAAACATTTGCAGCATCTAAAAGAGAGACCTCACCAGAGAATCACCATGATTATGTGTTATATTAACTGAGGTGGCATAATTTTTGCATAGCCCAGGCAGGCCTTACCACTGCACATACCTTTTTGAAACAAAACCTCTGAGACTCAGGAATGGTTGACTGTTCTGTTACCTATGTTCAGTACCTCAGTCAGTCCCTCTCTCTGTGAAAACACAATACAAACAGCTAACCTCATAATTTACACCGCACCATTGGCATCCTACCACAGTGAGAACTGCTTATCAAGTTTACAAGAGTAGAAAGTTGCCTTGAAAAATTGTAATTGTGTGAGAGTCTCTGTGAAAATGATCATGCAGGGGGGGATGCAGTAAAAATGTCTCTAGAAGTTCTCCCTCTCCAAGAGTACTTTTTCTACCCATAGCCCTCTTTCCTTGAGCTGGCAGCCAGTGCTCCTTGCTGAGATGCTAGTTACCCCATGGGTGCTCAGGATCTCTGTGGATTATAATGATGATATGCACGTAGCATATAAACTGCACATTTGTATGTCTGGAAGAACTTTTCTGACTCTTACAATCAAGGGATATTTTAATATTGCACCAAAACTACACTTTCATCACCAAGACAATCACAAAGAAGCCTGGCTGCATTAGCGTTACCCTTTGTAGCACACAGGAATGTCTGATAGCAATACCATTACAACTTTTACTCTTCTAAATTAATGCCACAGTTTATCCACAGACATTCTAAAGGTATAAGCAATGCCAGTTCCTGAATTTGTGAGAACAATATCAGTGTCAACTTATCAGTATCAGCAGATACTACAATACCATTCTGGAAAGTACTGTACCAATTTCACTGAGCCACAACTACTTTGACTCCTCAGGGTAAATCTTCAGCATAGTGCACAGCGTGTTAGTCATACAACCATCACCACTATTAATGAGCCTCATACTGCTAAACCCCAGCTCATCATATTGAAAATTTACACTTGTAAGTTGCATAAAAGTTAAAGATCCATTTAACTTCTGTTTTGAGTTTGTTTACTACAATGCCTTTTTTTTTTTTTTTTTTTTTATTAAAAGAGAAGGAATGCAACATTACAGGCACTAACTATCAATGTCCTGTTCTTTTCTAGAGGTACATGAAGATGAAAGCACAGCAAATCAAGACATCCTAATACAAATGTTAACTTCTGTGTCTTTACTGGAAATGGAAAGCAAATGTCAACAGCTCTCAAAATGGCAAAGGACTAAGCTAGCATTTCTGAAATGATAATACTTCCTTAACCTAGCCATTCTTTTTTTTCTGTATTGCTCCGAACATACTGGATTTGGTTATTGATTTTGTTTAACTAATGGTTTCTTGAAACAGCTGGGATTTTTTAATTGCTGAAAATTTTTTGCATTCTGAACTGCAAAAAGAAAACAGAGCCAAAAGAAAATATAGATAATAAATACTATATCGTTAAGTCTGGGATAGCTGCCTAGGAGTCAGACCAGAGGACTTTCCTTGCGAGTTATATTATAACACGGAAAGGAAATTGTCTTTAACTTTCCATTGATGTGGACTTTTAAAAGAGAAGCTGTTGCACATTGGCAATAAACAATACAATGTGTCAGACTGAAAAATAAATCCTATTTTTCTTAAAAAGGGCAATATCTAAATTTTTCTTGTAACTTTAATCTGTAACTTACCAATTTATAAAAACTAATTTGTCATCGTTAAAAATGTATATATGTATGTTATCCAGAATGTTTTGTTTTTATTAATTTGTGTTTCCTTTGCATGTAAGCTGTCTTCCCATTTTTATCCTCTTAAGGCCCAGATCCACAAAAGGTTCTTAGGCTTTGTGATCCAGGAAAGTTGCAACACCTAACGTTTAGGTGCCTATACAATCACGGGAACAACACTGCAATCCACGAAGCCTGAGTTAAGTACCTAGGCTCGTTATACAGTGAATGGAGAGAACTAAGCACCTTGAAGTGTGATCCACACAAGTCAGGATACTAGGCAGCTCTCTGCTTAAACTAGCCAATGGGAGATGGTGATGAGGTATGTGTGCTAAGCCCCACCCCTCTCAAAGAGATAGGAATGTAAGTCTGGGCTGCAGGGAGGCACCTGTCTCTGCTAGTGGTCCACAAACTAGGGGGAAATAGGCACACGCAGGGCCTGATCCAGTAGACATGCTCAGAGGCTGTCTAACTCCACAGCTGGGGGTGGGGAGCAAGGAAGAGGAGGACATCCCTTATAACCCTTAGCCCAGTGATTAGAACACTCACCTAAAATGTGAGAGACTCCTGCTTCAAGTTCCCACCTTCCTGATGAGGAGAAGGAATTTGAATAGGTGCCATCCATCTCTTAGGAGACTGCTCTACCCACTAAGCTATGGGATGTTCTGATGTCGGTACTCCTCAATCTCTCCTATTGAAGCTGTTCCACTTTAATTAAGTAATTGAATAATTAAATATTAATTGGCCCCCAAAACAGTTAGAATGTCTCTATAGCCCAGTGGTGAGGGCACTCACACGGGAGGTGGCAGATCCCTGTTCAAATCCCTTCTCCTCATCAGGTCTGGGGGATTTGAACTGGGGGTCTTCTGTACTCTGGGTGAGTACCCTAACCATTGGGATAAAGGTTCTAAGAGGGATGGTTGCTACTGCATTAAGTTAGGCAGCCTCTGAGCACTCCTACTGGATTGGGCCCTGCACACAACTTAGCAGCCTTTCCCCTGGCTCGTGGATCACACTGGGGCTTAGACAGGTGCCCAGGCACCCAGAGTGAGGAAGCAGTGTGCATGCTCAGGAACTGAAACATAAGCACCTAGGGAAATTTTATTGCAAAAACTTGGGCACTGAGAGAGTTTGGGAGCTGATTGGGTTATGTGGCAGCCAAGCAGGAGTTTTGTGGATCACAGTGGCACCCAAAAATGGGAGTTGGGTGCCTCACTTTTGTGGATCCCACCCTGAAAGCCTGTTTTCCATTTGTTAGAATATCGCTTAATCTATGGGTAATTATTGTGAGCTGAAGGGGTGGCTAGACTAGATCAACACTTAAACATCAGGAGGCTCTAATAGGACCAAGAACCATCTTGGTAGAATCCACATAGGAATGCGGATATTCTCTGTTGAGGCATCCTGCTATCAGCTGTTACCATACTGCATGGAAATGCAAGTGTACCACTTAGTCACACAAACAGATGGATTCAGTTAGAACCAAGCAGGATATAAAAGGCATTTGAGCCTAAGTAGAAAATGAAACTATGCTCTGGGATAGAGTCTCTGTAAGGAAAACAAACTAACCACCCAAGTAACAGCCTGTTATGGGGAAATGATAAGGCGGAGGTTTAGGGTTGGTTGCTATTATTTCCATTACGAGTAACTGGCGTATACACAGTATTTATGTACTTTACTAAGAGCAGCATGGGAATATTGCAGGCTTTCAAACCAATTAAAAAGTCATTTCCTATATGGAGCTTATTAAACTCTCTCTCGGTTTCCTTCTCTAAAGGAGAACGATCTCCCCTCCCTGTAAATATTTCCACCTACCACGGTGAGTTCAAAAGGGAATCAGGGTGCCATCTTCTGTACTATAGGCAATGAGAATTTAGCATTTCATTGCTGCTGCTCCACAGCTTTGAAGGAAGTAGAGGGGTGATCTCAAAGATACTGTTGGTTCCACAGATCACCCTTTTGTTCCTTCAGATCCAGCCAATTGGTGAAGAGGGGGGTCAGGTCAGGCTGAAAGTTCCCATATCTATCCAGAACTCTTAAGAGTGCTGAAGTCACTGGGAGGAATTGGGAAACTAAGTGGTCCAATCCCCTAGAACTTTCTCCTTGTCAAAAATATAGAGCCACTTATGCAGTCTTAAAAGTCAAGGACATTTTGAAATAGGGTGACCAGATGTCCTGATTTTATAGGGACAGTCCCGATATTTGGGGCTTTGTCTTATATAGGTGCCTATTACCCTCCACCCCACGTCCTGATTTTTCACAGTTGCTCTCTGGTCACCCTATTTCAAAATGTGCAAAATCTTTGAGTTGCCCCTCTGGAGCAGGTAGGATATTTGAATTTCTCCTAAAACGTTCTGTTGTGGAGAGTTCTGAAGTGCTTATCCACAAAGCATCTAGCCACCCTTTAATATCGCTGAAGGGGCACCAGGACTTGTTTCTGCTCCCAGGACAAAAGGGGAGGTGTTAGTACAGTGACACAAACTGGTTTATAACACCACTGCAGCACCCTGATTTTAAAATAGTGCTATTTTGTCTTTTCACTCAAGTGACTGTTTGTAGCTTAAATTCTAGCTGTTGCCTCTTAATTGACTCTTCTCAAATGCACAACAAGGGCAAATTCCCATTGGAGCAGAAAGCCCTAGGGCTGGGCAGTGGTAGTTTCTATGGGGAGGGCCAGGGAAAAAGGTAGATCCATGTAGCAATGAATACTTGTGTTGCTGTTTCCCGCTGCTTAGCCCCACAGAATCCTGCCCCACATTGTGCAGCAGACCAGCACGGGTGCACTGCCAAGAATCTCTCCATGGCCACAAGCTCAGGGATATGATTTAACCCGTAGAGCCAAACCCTGCTCTCAGTTACAGCAGTGTAAATCTGCAACAACTTAACTGAAGCCAGTAAGTCAGAGGCAGAGCTGCAAATAAGAACCCAGGTCTCCTGGCCCCCAACCCCCTATCCTAGCCATGCTGTCTCCCTTCAATTAAAAGTCATGGATTAATTTAATATCATTGACCACCTTTGAAGTCAATTTAAAGCACACGTTTGCCTAGTATCCAAGCGTAAGGTACAACTGTTCCTAAAGTGTTTGCTTTCTTGATTTTCTCTTTCCATACAAGATAACCTTGTGTAAACTTATGCCATCTATTAATGTCTTTAAGTGAATAAGTCTAAATTCGATCTATTTTAGGCCTTTGTAATATACCTGTATACATCTTTTAATAAAATAATTTCAAATACCCTATGTATTCTGTAACGTTTAATAGCACTGCGTGTGTGCAAGCACAGGCCCATGGTCACTCAGCCATTTCAAAGAAAATCAGTAGCCAGCCATTTTGTGGAAATGCCATTTACGGGTATGAACATGCATAGGACACTTGAAGTCTAAGCATGTGTGTGTGTATAATTTGTTCCTATTGTGAAAGCATGGGTCTTGGGGGAGCAGAACTGTGCATTTTCTGGTTTCATACCAGGTAGGCCTTCTCCTCCGTTAGCAGTAAGAAAAAAAAAATGTAATCATGCTGAAAATAAAGGGGATGATACATTAATACTTGTTCTCACCTTGCTTCTCCCAGACATTACTGTGCAACTGTGTCTTTGATTGAAAAGACAAGACTGTTGTCTACCATTTCTCAAATGTATCAGGAGTGGCGGATCTGTAATATACAAAAACTCATACTCAACTCTCTGGAGACCAAGTTGCACACATCAGATCTCTGAACTCTACCTGCATAAGAAGAGCTGAGGTCTGGCTGGAGAACCCAGTCAAGAGAGGCAGATGGGGACATGAGGCATCCAAACAACAAATCCCGAGAGGCACCATGCTGGCATTTACGAACCAACATTTTTCAGCCAAGCATCAAAATTGTTTGGGTTTTCATGTGTTCATTTGACAAAAAGTCGGCTTTTTGTTCGATCAAAAACTCAATTTTCTGTAAAAAAACAGTTTAGACAGAAAATGTTGGCCACCCCTACTTTAAAGATAGCAGTATTGGCTCTCATCAATGACATTGCCTAAGGAGGAAGCTACTATTTTTATTTAAAAAAAAAAATCAATAAATATCAGTTATTCATTCAAGGCTAGTTTTTTCAAGGGAGCTCAGCATATTAATTGCTCAGCACTTTTGAAAATCAGACCTTTGTCTTGGTGCTTAACTGGGAGCTGAAGTCTTTTGAAAATCTGCCCCATTTGCATGTGCTGAGCTCTTCTGAAACCCTGGCCCTAAATATCTGTATGTATTTATGTCAATGGATAATGTAGTTTGAACTATTATTGGAAAGACATTTGGAAAAAGTTTACATGACTTCCTGTGGAGTGAATTCTGAGCCAACAGACTGCGCACAGAGAAGTTCTCAGGACTCTGGGGTTGGGATTCCATCTGCTCCACCACCACCCTTCCATCACCAGCTAGGCTGCAGAGTAGCTGCGGTAGCCGCTCCACAGCTACAACCTATGGGCATCGTTACGGTCTTCAGCAGCTGCACCATCCATTACGGGACACTTTGGTCAGCAGCCCCAGTTACTGGCTGTATGCCTGGCTCTCCCTGCCAACAAAATTACTCTTCCATAATAGAGCCCAAATGAAGCACAGCTCTAGTGAGCACAAGTGTTGCACGCTCCCATGTAAAGGTTCATCCTATTCTACTGCCTCTCTCCTGCACAGAAAAACCACAGCTAGCTGTAGAAAGAAAGGGTTTGCTTTTGTGTTTAATATGTCAATTACTATTTGCCAATAAACGTCAACTAAAAATCTAGATGTAATTCAAAAGAAAGTACGTTAAATTTCCAAATAAGGAGCAAAATTCTGGCTGCCATCAAGTAAAGGCATAATAGAACCCCAAATAGTGTGTACACAAACACACACACACACACAGCTAAAGCACCACTGATGTCGTCCTTGTTGTGGAAGAGTAGCCCTACAATTAGGAATAGTTTATAGGAATGGCTATGCCTAGAGCCCATTGTCAGTTAAGTAGTGCAGGGTCTACACAAATATGTCAGCCATTTGCTGACTCCTAGATTACTCTAAAGCCCGTATGTCTCAATCCTTTTCCAGCTCCTGCTACACAGGACCTGCAGAAGATGTTTTTTCCCCAGGAGGGACAGAACAGAACTGACCAACTTCCATCCCATTATTCCACTGTAGGTTCTTTGTCATGTGCCTATGCACGCCACCGTCCATAATCTGGCATATGGTAGTATATATAATACATTACAGAGAAGTTCACATTTCCCATTTATAAGCAAAATTTACTTTACATAGTAAACAAAATGCAAAAAAAATGAAATAGAATAAAATGAATTCTCCTATGGGAAGAAAAAAATATCTACTTGGAATTGGACATTGCCCTGCAGAACAAAACATCCAGCAAAATGGCAGATATCACCTATACAAACAAAAGTGCGTGGTTTTTCCATGGGATTAGAAAGCAAATACTGTGCATGCAATCCACCTTCTGCTGATATATTATTCTGTTCACTTGTCTTTTGCTGCATCCGTTTATTGATAGCTATTAAACAAAAAACACACAACACTGATCTAAAATCCCATTCAAACTCTGTTTAAATTATCACAGGAGGGCAAAGAATAAACAATGATTTAGTTACTTTTGCTGCAAAAATCAGATGTGTGCGAAACCAGCTCTGACAGACTGCAGCATTACAAAGACTTGTTAATGGATGAGAAGAAAATGCTCTTTTTGTATAAAGGAAGTTCTGAACCTTTCTGCAGCAGGTGTTATCATCTGCAACAGATACTCCTGTACGTGTACGTGCACGTGTACGTGTGTGTTGCTTTTAGGGCCCAGTAGAGTCAGTCTCTCCACTGACTTCAATGGGCTTTGGAGCAGACTCTTAGGATGTGAGGAGGAGGTTACTGAGAAAGTAATATCTGATCCAAACCTCTGATATGCAAAGACAACCAAATGCATCCGATGAAGTGAGCTGTAGCTCACAAAAGCTTATGCTCAAATAAATTTGTTAGTCTGTATCCACAAAAAGAAAAGGAGTACTTGTGGCACCTTAGAGACTAACAAATTTATTAGAGCATAAGCTTTCGTGAGCTACAGCTCACTTCATCGGATGCATACAGTTGAAAATATAGTAGGGAGATTTTATTTACACAGAGAACATGAAACAATGGGTGTTACCATACAGGCTGTAAGGAGAGTGATCAGGTAAGGTGAGCTATTACCAGCAGGAGAGCGGGGGTGGGGGAGGGAACCTTTTTGTAGTGATGATCAAGGTGGGCCATTTCCAGCAGTTTACAAGAACAGTAGGAGGGGAAATAGTTTTACTTTGTGTAATGACCCATCCACTCCCAGTCTTTATTCAAGCCTAAGTTAATTGTATCCATTTTTGCAAATTAATTCCTATTCAGCAGTCTCTGAGTCTGTTTTTGAAGTTTTTTTGTTGAAGAATTGCCACTTTTAGGTCTGTAATCGAGTGACCAAAGAGATCGAAGTGTTCTCCGACTGGTTTTTGAATGTTATAATTCTTGACAATCCATTGTCTACAGCCAAGCAGTACGATACAACCGCATTTGCTCCAACCTCTCAGACAGAGACAAATGCCTACAAGATCTCTATCAAGTGTTCTTACAACTACAGTACCCACGTGCTGAACTGAAGAAACAGATTGAAAGAGCCAGAAGGGTACTCAGAAGTTACCTAGTACAGGACAGGCCCAACAAAGAAAATAAGAGAACGCCACTAGTCATCCCCTTCAGCCCCCAACTAAAACCTCTCCAAAGCATCATCAAGGATCTACAAGCTATCCTGAAGGATGACCCATCACTCCCCCAGATCTTGGGAGACAGGCCAGTCCTTGCTTACAGACAGCCCCCCAACCTGAAACAAATACTCACTAGCAACCACACAACAGAACCACTAATCCAGGAACCTATCCTTGCAACAAAGCCCGTTGCCAGCTGTGCCCACATATCTATTCAGGGGACACCATCATAGGGCCTAATCACATCAGCCACACTATCAGAGGCTCATTCACCTACGCATCTACCAATGTGATATGTGCCAGCAATGCCCCTCTGCCATGTACATTGGCCAAATTGGACAGTCTCTATGTAAAAGAATAAATGGACAAAAATCAGACGTCAAGAATTATAACATTCAAAAACCAGTCAGAGAACACTTCGATCTCTTTGGTCACTCGATTACAGACCTAAAAGTGGCAATTCTTCAACAAAAAACTTCAAAAACAGACTCAGAGACTGCTGAATAGGAATTAATTTGCAAAATGGACACAATTAACTTAGGCTTGAATAAAGACTGGGAGTGGATGGGTCATTACACAAAGTAAAACTATTTCCCCTCCTACTGTTCTTGTAAACTGCTGGAAATGGCCCACCTTGATCATCACTACAAAAAGGTTCCCTCCCCCACCCCTGCTCTCCTTCTGGTAATAGCTCACCTTACCTGATCACTCTCCTTACAGTCTGTATGGTAACACCCATTGTTTCATGTTCTCTGTGTATATAACACCTCCCTACTATATTTTCAACTGTATGCATCCGATGAAGTGAGCTGTAGCTCACAAAACCTTATGCTCTAGTAAATTTGATAGTCTCTAAGGTGCCACAAGTACTCTTTCTTTTTATGGATACAGACTAACATGGCTGCTACTCTGAAACCAGATAGAGATGTAAGCTTTGACATTTAAATGTTCCCGTCAACTGTGAACAATTGCATTTTCTGTGGGGAAATAAATGTGGGTGTCTTCAAGATCAGACAGAGAGGCTGAGCCACCACGGACTCCAACTGACGGCAAAAGATAATGAGGATGATCACTGACCAGAGCAGCCCAGAAACAAAGAGTCTCTGTAATAAGATATTGTGAAGCATTATGTCTGTTCTTAGAAGAGTTATTATATGCCACTCTGAGGCATGATGTGGTGTGTTAGGGAATGTTTAACGCAGGCCTTGAGCACCTTTTGAGAATGTTCCCTACTGTAGCAGTTCACTGACTCACCAGCGCGGCACCTCCTGCTGATCATCCGGGAATTAGCTTGATTCCAGCCTCGGAGACCTCCTGCTGGCTGGTGTCTCCCTACCAGTTGCTGCTTTCTCCTGATCTCCACCACTTGTAGCACTTCAGGCCCCACGTCCCTCCTGGACCCTGGTGCCCCTTATCTTCGGGTGCTGCCCAACAGCAGTGCCCCCACACTCTGGGTCTCCCCTCCCAAGGGAACCCCAACC